ATTTTAATAAAACATATTGTATGTACTGATATATTGGGTTTCTGGACTTTATCCATCGTCCTGGTTTTTAAGATAACAAATAAAAACATTGGTCACTGGACCAATGTCCAGTGATTGAGGCTAGCTCTTTCTAACGGACCCAACAGAATAGGTGTTTCCCTTTTCCTTCACCTGAGGACGGAAACAGATCCAGTTTCTGAAATGTCGTGTTTTTATTTGTTATCTTAAAAACCAGGACAATGGATAAAGTCCAGAAACCCAATATATCAGTGTGTTATACACCATCGACAGAATCCTACAGTAACTATACTGTATGTATTTTACAACGATAAGGAAACATATTGTAAACTCCCCTATAAAGTATTTACATTCTGACATTAATAGTACACAAGTTATGGACTTTCTGGGGGTGTCTTTGGATCCATCCTTATCTTGGCAAGGACATATATCTAAAACAATAAAGAAATTAAATTCTGCTTGCTTTGCCATTAAGTCTCTGAAATCGTTACTATCTATTAATGATCTAAAAATGATATATTTTGCCTATGCTCACTCTATAATTGTATATGGAATTGCCTTTTGGGGAAATGCCACTAATAGCAAGGATGTCTTCATAGTGCAAAAAAGAATTATAAGGAGTATTATGAATGTAAATTCTAGAGCCTCTTGTTGGGGATTTTTTAAATATTTAAACATATTGCCTTTTTATTCTCAATATATACTTTCGCTTTTGCTTCTGGTAGTGAAAAATATACATTTGTTTGCACTAAATGCTGAAATACATGTCATAAATACACGACAAAGTACCGGCTTACACGTGCCATTGATAAATTTGGCCAAATATAAGAATAGTGTGTGTTGTATGGGTATTATAATATTTAATAATCTGCCACCTAATTTAAGAAAATTATCAAGTGATTTTAAAAAATTTAAGTTAGCTATAGATAATTTTCTCTTAAATCAATCATTTTATTCGATAAATGAATACTTGGAGTGGTCAAAAGAAAGGAAATAGAATACAGGTGAATATTTGTTCTATTTAGATACACTTATGTGTAGTAGTTTTTGTAGACTTTGTATAAATGTATGTATACTTTTATTATCAATTGCTTATAATGTCCATATTTTAGTTATTATTGATTTATTATACTAAGCATTGACTAAGTTGTATTATTGCAACTGTTTTATTACAGTATATGTTACTATTTGGGACTTACAACTGTGGTGATTGTGTCGCCTGTACGTTTTTCTTGAAGCAATAAAGATATTATTATTATTATTATTATTATTATTATTATTATTATTATTATTATTATGGTATCTATGTTGTCACCCATTAGATTCACATAATCAGCATAGACCAGCAGCTGATATGTCCCATTTAATTTCAGTCCTAACAGTTTTTCCTGGACCTTCCTAATTGCATATTCTAAAGCAAAGTTGAAAAGCAATGCCAGTAAAGCATCTTCTTGTTTTAGATCATTTTGAATAGGAAACTTATCAGACAAATATTTACCTATACAGACTTCACTATCGGTTTCATTTAAACACATTTTAATTAGCCTAACTAGTTTCATGGGTCCCCCAGACTTTGTGAGAATATTGTAACATACTCCCTTTCTAACTGAATCAAAGACTTTGTTAAGTCTATGAATAACTGATTCATAAGTTACATAGAGCATATACTAATTTCTGTACACTTTAAATCATAAAACATTTTAATTAAATTATTACAGAATAAACTATCTTACAGTACAGCAATAACACAAAAAATACACATTAAAACTCCAGTTTCTATAAAACTTTCTTTGCCATGATATCATACATGCCTAATACTCATACATATTATTTTATAAATTTTGATTATGCTCGAAATTTTTACAAATTATTTATTTATTTGAAAAAGAAGCACCATTTTCTATGGATTCTGACTAAGTATTTACACATTTTAATTAAATTGAAACTGAATTTTTAAGACCTAAAGAACCAATTACCAGAATATTTTCTAAATTGCAATTATACAAACATTTTTTAACTTTGATACACATAAACATTTTCTAAGACTGGTAATGTAATTAAGAACTTTAGCTAGAATTTGTTGACAGAAGTACACACCATGTGGAGGCACTCTTGCTGTCCCAGAAACAGAAACCATGACTGTAAGGTATACTCATACATTTTCAAAATATGGCATGTGTGTTAACTATTATGCAACATTAAAATGGTTAATTTTTGTTTCACACATTTTCTAAGTACTATTCAGCAAATTATATTTGTATCCAAATTTTCCTTTGATAAGTTTATAGCTAACAAAGTTTTCATTTTATGCATTTAGGAAAGGGCAAATACTACAGCTAAGAATGTTATGAGAACACTTGGTACCACAGCATAACCTCCATCCTGAGACCATCTAGCAAACAGGGCTGTAACAAAAATGATACCATTTAGTTATATAATGTGTTGCTTATAAGCTGCTGATGTCATGATATAGGAGAATGTAGTTGTTAAAAGAAAACCATAATTAATATTTAGACATATATACATTTTAAGACTTATCAAGGCTAAAAAAAATTAATGTTAACTTTTACTGTGTTGATATACTTGATGATGGTGACACAGATTGAGATATGAGCCCCCAGAAGATTAAGATTCTAACTGAATTTAAGTTAAATTAATCAAGTAGGATTGTAGCATTTAAATGATGCTTCAAACTAATTTGTATTATATCTCAAGACTGTTTAAACTGTATATTTAGACCATTTACAAAGAAGACAATTTCACAAAGGGTTATATCAATAAAAAATATTCTAAAAGTAAGATTAATGGAATTCACTGAAAAATACAAGCCTAAGAACATTTCAGAAATGCAGAAATCTGGTTTCCAATGCATGTACTATAGGAAAGGTGAGAAGAGATGAGAATGTTGTTCAACATTTTACATCTTTTGGGGTAATTACATTCTTGCATTGCATTATCATTACATTTATTGCTATATATTGTCGGGTATCGGGCGTATATCGCGACAAATAAGTTCACGCCGTATTTTATATAGCGAATTTTATTTCACACTCGCTCTTACAATCACCCAAATTACAGATCTGACGATTACTGCTATCTGCAGTATCACAAATAGTACACTCCAAATGCCAGAATACAACTGACTGGTTGCTGGCTAACTCGACGATAGGTCCAGGACTCGCTGACTGACTCAGTACAACTCTGCGGTAGCCACACTAGAACTGACTGTGAATAGCCTTCGCTGCTCCCTATGTAGCCTCGATCGGACAATACGGGAAAACGGCCACGTAATAGGCACCCTTGTTGCTATGTCGCTGTGTTGCTATGTAACGCTAGCGGAGGTAACCGCTGTTACTACTTGGTGACGTCACCGGTGTTGACTTGCGTTGCCTAGCGACCAGGATGCTAGGACTCGGCTAACATCGGCTCGCTTCGGCTTCGCTCGGCGCATCACGGCTGGCGGGGGGGGGGCGCCGTCATCCATAGCTCAGCACATCACAATATATTGCGAGATTTGCAGGTACAGAAAGGTTCTTTCAAAGTGAAAATTTTAATCAGGAAATACTGTTAACTGTTGTTGTTAATGATTGTTATTAATCTTCTAGAATTTTGATTTCTGATGTTAGAGCAATTTTGTGATACATAAATACTTACCTAAACCACAGCAAAACCAGCAGCATAGGATAGTAAAGAGATAATAGGGAAACTGTGGACCCTTAAAATTACCTCTGATAAAGTTAATTGGATGACCGGAGGGAATGAAAGGAGTAAGTGTTAACTGATAAGTATATTTGCATTGATTCTTATGGTTATTCACTTTAGTGGTAAAAGTAAACTTGTCTGTGTGCTTAATTAATTAAACACCACAGTATTAAGACATATGGCGAAATCGAGGTATAGTTCCACCATTCTTTACCTCATCTGTGGATGGCAGTGAGTGATTAGCTTCATGCCGTGGCTGCTTTATCCCCAAGTGAGCCGAAACATGTCATGTAATTTTAACACAGTTAATAAACTCAACTGACATAAATGTAGTGATGAGTTGATTACTTATTTGTTGTGTTGTTGGTTTTATATATGTACACACACACACACACACACGCATATATACCTGTGTCTTCTCCAGTAGTACTCCAACCAACCATGCTCTCATCACGGTTCTGCACATTTAACCACATTGTCAATGGTTTGAAATATTCCAACAGTGGCCAAGCATCAAGTTTGTCAGTTCTACCCCGTGTCATGATCCTAATCACCTCTGGCCAGGGTCTTGAAGAACCTAATGAAAGTATGTCCCTGTAAGACACACAGCTGTCTTAGTATAAAATGTGTATATATAATGAGGTTAAGATGAATAGAAAGTCATAGATCAATAACGTTTTATTTAAAAAGAAAGTTGTGAAAAAAAAATGTTCATGCAGCTTTCATAAACTGTAACATGTATATCCAATCAGACATTAAATCCCATGAAGAAATAATGTGATAAACTCTGCAGTCCAGTAACCGTGATGATATTGGTTTATGGTTGCTGGAAGACTAAATTTGAACTTGTGTGAAGTGTGGATGTTTTAGTATGTTTTAGATTAGTCTTTTTTAATCATTCTGTACTTTAGCATCCTGTTATGTTGTAGTTTAATAAGTACTGTGTTTATCATTCTCGTTTTACTCAACAATTCAGTGATAATTTATAACTACAGTATATAATTTTATTAACCATTCACAATATTATCACTAACACATATTGTGGTCATTATTTGACCATCAGAAATATTTATTCAAAGTGTAAGTTGGTGCAATGTTCATGTCTGTGAAAGTTGTTAGTAAAGTCAAAATTTAAATTAAGGTTATAGATAAGAATTTAAGTTAAAATTGGTGTCTTTTGAATGGTTAAAGTTCAAATTAAGTGTGACGTTATTAGTTTACAGTATGTATCCAATTAACGCAAAGTTTAAATCTGGCTGTCAGCATTGTAGTAGCAGGAGATTTAATCTGGACAATAAAGGTTCAATTTTTACAACAAGAATTTACTCTTCAAGTGTGTCAAGTTTTGAGAAAAACAAATTTCTGTTTCCTAAAGTATTAATTGAAATCTCAGATTTAAACCAGTGATGATATGTACATATTGTAATGGATTTGCTCAAAGCATTGCTAGGCAACAGCTCAGTAAACACTTGCCAACACACAATGGAAACTGTGTCTCAGTGGACAAATGTTATAGCTCATTGCTAGACAGCAGCCATCACGCCAATGGACTGGCAAGATAGCAATCACGTGACTTGTGTTCTCTGCGTTCTCCATGCAGAGCCTATACGAGGATTTGTTGTAGCTCAGATTAGTGCAGTGCAGTTAAGAGTACAAGGACAAGAATGGAGCATGTCCTTAGTGAATTGTGAAGATTAATTGAGTACAGATTAGGACAAAGGAGTACAGAGTGATTGAAGACGAAATAACAAGAAGACTTCACAGTTTTTTGAAGTGTTAGTTTCTGTGTTGAGATCTGTTGCCAGGAGACGATTAGTGAAGACAGAGAATCCTAGTGTGTGTGCAACAGTGAACTGAAAGTGTGTAGAATAGTGATAGCATTATAATTGAGTGTGATTAAGTGAACTTGTAACTGAAGTGTCAGTAAATCCAATCATCTGATCTATGAACCTGTTATTTTCATCACATGTACCCCCCTACATGTGACAATATATTGAACTCAGCCTATCTGCCTGATTCAGTTTACACATTTGTCTAAAAATGTCACTCACCCCAAGAGTCGGCCAGCCTCCCTTGATCGGTAGATATTACAAGTATGTAGTGGTCCAAAGTGACCAGCTGCTTCACAAAGAGCTTGGTGAAGCTGGAACTGCAGCACCAGGCTCACAAAATACCTGCACATATTAGGTAGCTGTCATTTATATTTCACATGTTTTTTTTTATTATTCATTTATTGTATATTCCATAAATCCATATACATAGATATAGAACCAGTCACATAGTTAATATAGTACAATACAAATATAAATATATATGTACAGTTTATAATCATTAAGATAGATCAAAAAACATGTGTTAAATTTATATCAAAAAGACAGTTTTACATCACTATACATAAAATTATGCAATATTAACACATTGCGGACCGATGGTTTAAACATTTAAATCACCCAGGGGACCGGCGTTTTTAAACCTACTACCCTAACTTGTGCACTGTTTGCTTTAAAAATTAATATAAAATCTCCTAATTAATTTTATGAACTGAAATTTTTGGAGAACACTTACCTGAGCTCCTAGAAGTGCTTGCGCGTGTGATATCTCTGGAAACATTCCCCTTTGTGAAGAGGCATTATGCAGAATTTGCACATGTAGGCAGTTCTACTCTTCTTCTTGTGCTCTGCGCACACACGGCACTGCCTAGAAGGGTGTTTCTTCTTGCAATATTCACTCTTCACAATTTTCACGAGAATATGTTTCCGCATATCACCCAAGAGTCGGCCAGGGGGGTCTACTTGAGGCCTCTGGCAGGTGCGAACAGATGGCCCTGGCTGCACTACGTCTGTGTCTGACACAGGTACTGCCGCCACCGTGACGTCAGTAGCCCAAGCTTTTGCCAGTTTCAACAGAAATGCTTTGTATTTCAAAGTAGAATTTCTGTTCACCTTTTTGAAAACCGTAATGAATTGAAAATTGCACAGTTTATAAGCCACAGTGTAACTTTCTTCGTCCATTTTACTGTTTTCCTAGGAAGGGAATAATAGGCCAAGAACTGGTCGGCCCTATCAACTCCTTTCATGAACATATTATACTCGGAAATACAAAGAGGCTTCTTTACTTGCCCATGTCGTCTTTGAACATCANAGCCTCGTTATCAGAAGACGAAGCAGTTGGCAAATCTGATAGCTCATCGGAGAACATATCTAATATTTCCTGTCCTCCGAGAGATCGCAACTGCTTTCGTCTCTGAGCCATGTTGAACTGGTAGCTGCGTGGTTCATACGTGCAAGCTTGGATTAGAACAAAGCCAATTTTGTTTAGGTTGTGACAGGAAATGACTCTGGTCGAGTTACTAGATAAGGCAGCAATCATTCCCGAGGTCATCTACGCAGTAGTTACGATTCAACGAAGCCACACAGCGATATATAGCATTTTGCAACATAACGTGACCATAGAGGGCCATATGGCCCGCCCGGTCCGCAACGCTTGGAAACGTAGAGGGCCATATGGCC